CTGGAGTGGGCTTTCCTCCCCAGCCACCCCTCTCCCATTGTCTGGGGAGCTGTGTGTTATGTGTTTGAGCAGCCAGTGTTCCTTTATTTCACCTGCCTCATTTCCAATTAGTAGCAGCTCACCTCAGGGGAACATAATTAAAAGGGCTCTGGTTATCTGGGGGAAGGGAATTAAACAAATTGTGAAAGTACAGTAATAATGAATGGGATAGCAGGACGATTAATAAGTCTACAGTCTATGTGCATGCCTGTTCTGGGAAGAAGGATGTACCTAGATGAACTATGCTGTCTGTCCCAGGCCCGAGTCCATACCAGGGCAGTTGGAGAGCCTCTTGGGTACTCATGCCTTGAAGGCTTCAGTATGGAGAAGGCCCCAGCATGACACCATGAGCACATCCTGGTTTGAGCTTCCCAGCTGTGTGACCGTGGCAAGTTGCTCCACCTTTCAGAGTGTTTCCTTACCAAGAATGAGAATAATGGCACTGTTTTGCAGAGTTGCCCTGAGAATTGTGTATGCAGTGCATGAAAGTGGCTGGCTTATAGTCACTCAATAATATCAGTTCCTTTCCCCCTTCGGATTCAAAATAAAGATACCTGTCAGGTAAAGGTCATTATATTGTCATTGCCTTAGCACAAGCAACGAAGGAATCGAAGAAGAAAGAGTAGAGTAGGCTGCACTCCCCCAGAATATAACTGAGAAAGTCAGGTAGTGCAGTAATTCCCAGAGAACAAAGGGCCAGTGTAGATGTACCCTGTTCTGCTATTCAGAGATGAACAGTGGCATTCCACAGTCCTCTGTCAGCCACACAGCAGTTGTGACACAGTTGTCATGCCCACCTATGCACGTATGTGGTCATAACTGCTAATATTACAATTGCTTTAATTTAATTATGGGTGTTGTTGGTTTTGAGTGTGTTATATTAATTGCCATTTAAGCAATCTTGAAAATGGCACTGAGATCTGCCTTGGAATCTGAAGACCTGTGAATGTTGCATAGAAGCTGGGTGCAGTTGCCGTTAGTGAGCAAGAACATTTGTATCCATGTGTTCTGAACGGCAGCAAACAAGCCAGGAGGATGCCCCGCATGGTGGGCTCATGGGCACTGATGACCTGGATAAAGAAAACTACTCAGATAAGTAGGCCTCCCAATGGGACATTTCTAGGAATAGGTCACCAAATTTATTTTGCCATATTTTTCCTTTTAATGTATGCCTAGGAGTGAGAAAGTAGCATTTAAATGTGCCATTCTAAGTGGTTAGAAAGGAACAAATCACCAATTCCTCCATTATATTGGGGAGAAAAAAAAAAGGAAGGGCCTCTGTGAGAAAGTGACTTGAAACTCTGCGGACCAGTGGAGTGCACAGGTGCCAAGAACATGTGCCCACAGTGCGGCTGTGTAGAAGAGACAGGAATATCCACTCACTGGTGGCCTGCCAGCTGTCCATCAGGACCTTGGATGAACAGGAAAACATTGTCTGAGCTGGGCATAACAGCCTACATACAGCTGTGATCCCAGTACTCAGGTGCCTGAGACAGAAAGATTCCCATGAGTTTGTGGCCAGCCTGAGCTATACAGTGAGACTATCACAAACAACGGGGGCAGGGGGAAGGAGGGAAGGAAGGAACAAAGGAGATAAACCATTGTCTGAGAGAGAGGAAAGGCAATACAGGAGTGCCAGCCACCATGGGTCTGGAGAGAACCCCTTTGGACTTCACAGTCACTTACTGAGCATCCACCAGTGCTGCTCCATGCTGGACACCTTATGAAATGTCTCCAGTGCTTGCATTAATCCTGAAAGAGCTCCATGATACAGGAACTGCCCTTTTGGAAACACCTTGTCAGGATATAGCAAAAGGTAAATGAAAATCAGTCCAGCCCTTTGATTAGTCATCTCTTTCTGGGAATTCAAGTTACTTGTTTGTTTTCATTACAATGTTTCTAATAATAATGAAAAATTTGAAACAACTTATTGTCTAATTCCAGGAATTAGATTCAATAAATTATGGTCCACCCCACTAAGTAGAATATTATGTAGCCTTTAAAATAATATCACAACAGTTATAGAGCGATACGGAAAATGTTAGTGTAAAACATGAGAAAACAATAAAATAAATAAAATTAATTTCAAAGATATGAAACCATTAGTTTAGGTTAATATTAGAAAGGATGAGCCAAAAATTAGAGTAGTTGTGTTAGATGGTCTAACCATGGATAGATGGTTTCCTCCTAAAGTTACCTCTTATAGTAAAAAGGCAAAGAAAAAGGTCTCCAAGAAAATGTATAAGTAGCTGCAATAATTGAGTTACATAGAGAATAGAAATTACATTCAGAACATACCTAGAATTACCCACTTATGTACTTGCCACGTTGAGATGTTAAGGAGGCGGCTTCCTTTTTCTTTCTTCCCCTACCCCCACTTAGAATTTGTAATTACATATTTGCAGAGCCAAAAAAAATGTAGATTCTGGGAAGCATTTGAGGTGTTGGAAGCAAATGATAACAATAGACAAAAAATAGATGAAGCTATTTGTCCAGATTCGCTTTCCTGCAAAGCACAGGGCTGCACAGATTCAGAGTGCGTGTGCTTTAAATGTTGTCTAAATACAGACTGTGCAGGCCTAACAGTACTTGGCTACGAAGCTGCTTTTCTAGAATACACCATAATTACTCAAAGCCTACCTAGCAGTGTTAAAGAGTGAGACCTACTCTGTCCCTTCTAGCATCTCTAAGTCACCTTCATAAGGCTTCCTCCATCTCTGTCAGGCTGTCATGTACACTAAAGTAGCATGGCATTAAAACCTACACATTTCAGTTTCTAGAGAATGTTTCCTCTTTAGACAACAGTCTGTGGTTAAGTTACACCAAGGGCTTTGGCTGTTGGGATTATTTTCACCCTTTTCTCACAGTTGTTTGACCCTCTTTCTGTTTGCTAATTCACTCATTGGGATTTGGGTTCTGAAATTCTATTTGAAACACATAGTCACTGGTCAGTTATGTGCTTAAATGTAAGACCTGGGAAGTCAATAAGATTTAGTTCAATATTGTAGGCTTGTGCTTCTCTCCCTGTGTCAGGCCGTGCTCTGGACACATTAATGAGTGGTCCCCTTTTTTTTTCTTTTTGGAATTTTGCACTCTTCCTGCTTCCTTTCATTACGTTAGGCAAGGCTCCACTAGATGAGACATTTGCAGTCTTAAGACTTCCTGCCGAGGTTCAGACTTTGTATTTTTGACATTGAAGCTGTCGTGTTTCTGAAGCTACTTAATTAGAAACACATTCATTTTGGTGTACACTGGAGAAAGCTCAGGCAGCAAAACCAGGCACACTGGGAAGCTGGAGCATCTGTGGGGCTGGCAGCTAATGGCTTACAGTTTCGGGGCAAAAGTATCGCAGGGCATTTCTTTGCCTCTGGAAGCAAAGAGAAGCTGCATGTGCCCCACAGGTACCTTGAAGGGGGGGAAATAGACAGAAGAAGATGCTAGAAGAAAAGACAACTCTGTGTCTCTCCACTGTAGTTTGTTTGTACAGTTCTTTCTTTGGCTATTATCAAATACAAAGTCTTCTAGAAGAATAGTTCTCAGACTGCAGCTAATATTTGAGTCTGTCTTCCAGGCTGCTGAGATACATGACTGCTGAGATCTTTAGTAAGGAAGACGTTTTGTATTCCAAAGGATGGTTTTTGCTTGAAGAATTTTATTTGTTGAATTGTAATGAGGAAATTGAAACCTTTCTTCTTTTTTGAATGTTTGAATGGTTTTTAAGCTTGCATCTAATATCTAAGAGCCTTAGTTGCCTCCTCTCCTATTTCCAGCTGTAGTATGAGCTCCTGGTTTGTAGTCACCCTGACTCATTGTTTCCCCCAGGTCTACACCCACTGTGTAAATCCTTGTCCCTCCACTGTGACTCCCACAGCAGTCCCTGAGGAAAGTACTCAGACAGCTCAGTCCAAGCCAAGGGTTTTGCCTCTAATTTCATTGAAACTAGCCCCTAATGGTGTTGTGGGATGTATGACATATATGGAAAGACAGCCAAGAAAGTTGCCAATCATTCCTGTTCTCCCTGCTTCCTGCCCTCCCTCTTCCCAAGGAAGACAAGATGTGTTCAGCAACCTGGGAACAAGTCACAGTCAGCCCAAGGTTTATTGCTTGCTTGGCTGTGTGGCATTAGATAAGTGGTTTCACCTCTTTTGGTCAGTTTTCTCCTTTGTAGAATGGAAGTTATTTTGTGAGCTAGAAAGGTGACTTCATATAACCACTATCATTACCAGGGGGAAATATATGTTCTCTCTCCCTCTCTCCCTCTCTCCCTCCCTCTCTCCCTCCCTCCCTCTCTCCCTCTCTCCCTCTCTCTCTTCAGAAAATGAAGGAAGGACCAGCTACTACAGAATGCCCAGATTTTTAGAACCTCTGGACTTGTTTCTGCTCTGCAAAGGACGCAGACAGTGGTGGCCTCTGTTGTGCAGTAGCACAGCTGCATGTGTGGTGTGGCATGCAGAGCTTGCTGAACACCCCCAAACATCAGCCATGTGTCTTCATTGTGGAACATAGCCAGAGGGGTGATTCTTTGAAAGCTATTGTGCTCTCTATGCAACCTTCACTTTTTTTCCTTTATGATCGTTGAGTTCCATTAGTATCAGGACCTCTGTACTATGTGTGTTTATCTCTGTCTAGTAGCAGTAGTTAGGGTTGAGCCAAGAATCCCATTATAAAGATAAGGTGACTGAGGCCAGGAAGCTGCCTAACTACTGTTTGGGGTGGTACCTGACACCAAGGTTGATGCTCTTCCTGCTAGCCCTGCCGTTCCCAGTGCTGCCTGCATTTTTAAATTCTTTGACGTTTCTAGGCTTGGAAACAAAATGTCACATTAAGATTTTTGTTGTGAAAGGAAATGTAACTGTGCATACGTTTATTAAAACAGCTTTTCTCTAAATAGTGAGCCATCTGTAATTTTCTGTCGGAAGCAACAGACATTAAAGCAGCTGTGTGTCTGTTTCTCTTTGCAGTGCTCCCATGCCCTACCTCATAGGAGTCCATTTCAGTCTAATGGAGGTAAGTGGGCTCTGTCCTCCCTAGTCCTTGATGTGGGCTTCCGTTTCACTTTGTGTAGCAGAGAAATGGGATCTCAGTATGTGCAGCTCTGCATACAGGAGCAGCTGATACAACTGCTCATGTGCATCCCCTTGTCCTTCCTGATGCACAGACTCCATCCATCAACTTAGACCCTTCCAACTGACTCCTGTATTCTGGGCTTTTCTGCTGTGATTGGAAATGGTGGGTTTTTCCTGGGTGAATGAGAGGGAGGGTAGGAAGGTAGGTGGAAAGGTTCCATTGGTGTTTGGATAAGGAAAGGAAAAAGCTTTGTTTTTCATAATGACATTCATTCTGAATGTTACATTTTCATGGTAGGAAATGTGATGCAAATGGTCTCTAGAAGTTACAAAGAAAAAAATTAAAATTACCCGCTTTGCCATTATTCCAGAATGGACTACTGTTAACATTTTATTATTCTTCCAGTTAGTCTTTATTCTGTAGATATGTATTTCATATAATGTTATGTCTTTACCTGTCAGAGTTGTGGTGTGAGAATTCCTGCCTTTTTGTCTACCCTCAGTAACAGCAGTTTTCCATTTGTTCCCTGTCATTCCTATAACTTAACCACTTTCCTGCCATTGAGCACTTAGGTTGCTGGATGATTTTTATTTCACTATTATAAATAGCACTTCAGCAAACATCTTTATGCATAAAGGCTTTATCTGCATTTTTTAATCTGTATTAGTTCCTTAGTCCAGAATCCCTAAAGCAGAAATGTATGGTCAGAACTATGAGTCTGCTGCCAGATTGCTCTCAGTGTGGCTCTACCAGTCAGACAGCAGTGCTTTCAATGAACATCCTATGCTTTTGTGCATGCCCTCCAGGCTGTGCTTCCTTTGGAAAGGACAGAGCAGGGTGGGGCTGGTCAGCTTGCCTGTGTGGCACAGTATGGGCCCTGAGGGGAAATCTCCAGCCACGCCTGCCATGGTGCTTAGTATGTCTTAAAGGAAGTGCTACTTCTCTTCTGCTCCTTTCATTTCACATCAGCGAGGACCACCTGCTTCGCCACTAACTGTTGCACGCTCTGCTATTGTGATTACGAAAATGAAATGAGTTGGTTATCGAAAAACCTGTTTGTTTGACATCGAGAATCTTGATCAAAATAGACCACAGAAATCTGCTCAAATTTCTAATTTGACAGGACGGCCATGTGGCTCCTGCATTCTGTTAACAGTCCCTCCCTGTCATCACCCAGCCCTAAGCACATACAGTACACAGTTTATGGACTATCTTGGATGATGTATTTAGATCAGACTGAAGAAATTGCTTGTGTGTTTTACCTTTCTTAAGTATGGGGATCTATTCAAAGCTCCCATACAAAAAAAAAATTAAAAGTAAATCCTTTCTAATGGATCTTGCATGCCAACTGCTTTATAGTTTAAAGTACTGAAGACTATTGGGTCTGTCAGTGTCCTCAGTTCCCTCCTGCCTTCCAGTCTGCTCCATCCCAGGCTTTTCCAGACCTCCTTGTGTCCCAGTACCTTCAGCATTCTCCACAGTATCTGGCCTTGGCTTCTTTTCCTTCTTCACATGCTCTCCAGCCATCTTGCTTTAGGATTTCTTTTCAGTGCTGAGTCAAAGTCAGCAAAGCTGCTCTGTGGTTATGACCACTGTTCTGCTCTGCCTCTCTCTCTCTCTGGATTTCAGGTCCAAATTCAAATACCCACTGAATTTCTTTCCCCAACACTTTATTATTTACATGTCAGTGTGGGCATGAACACACAGATAAACATATTGAGCACCCAATTCCTTTCTGATATTCCCTGTCCCTTGAAAGGTACTGCCTGAAGATGCCCCAGAGTTGGGGCACACCAAGCATTCTCAATAATTACTCACAAGTCTCTATATAAAGTGTCTCTAATCTCATTCCCTTCCCACTGCCTCCCTTGGCTCTTTTCCTAGGCTTTCTTGGATTCTTACAAAGCCCAATTCACTGATTTGATAGCAAAATGAGGGCCTTGTGTGTTCCAAGCATTGTGCTCAGTCTTGGAGGTATGGGAATAGGGGCCAGTCCTTAGTCCCCTCATGGTATGGGTTGCCAGGTGTGGTCATTACAGAACACCTTCCATTCTCATTCTGCATTGCCCCCAGGCTCCCCATGGCTTCTCCACGCTGCCAAGCCTTCTGCCCCATCACTGTAAAAACACATGAGCCAGTGCTTGGACTAAATAGATCCTATACATCCCCATAGGTAGCCCTGCCCTTCTCTGACTCTTCCAGGAAGTGTTCTATCTTGTTCATCTTTCATTTGTGGGATCTCTCACTCTACACAATAGCTGTTTGTTTGCATGTCCCAGTGTGTCCTCTGAGCATGAATCCCATGGAAGCAAAGACAGCATCATCTTCTTTGGTGTCCATAGCTTCTTCAGTAGGGCGCCAGGTAGATGATTGAGCCACAGCTTTCAGAGAAGGGCAAAGTCAGTGCTTAAGGAGCTGTAACTGAGCATATTTTAAAGCCCTCCAACAGGCATCACTCTTTGCAAGTCACTCAGTGCCATCATCGTTCATTAATGGCTATCTGTCCAGCCTTTTTGGGTGAGAAGGTTCAGAAGCAGTGGCAGGCCACTGTCACCTATATGTAACCCCAACACTATTGGATGCAGAAACCTGGAGGTCATGGGGGCTTGCTGGTCTGCAGCCTATCTTTTTTTTTATAGAGACCCTATCTCAGAAGAATAAGGTGGAAAATGATTGAGCACATGCATGTGTACACTCAAAAGGGAGGTTTAAAAATATTTTTTAACCTTATTTGACTTTAAGTAATACAGAACAAGCTCTTTTCTCTAGGAAAGCATGCAGTGCAGCATATGATGAAATTTGAAGTGCTTCGGTGAACAGGTGCAAGTCTTGTCTGTCCAGTCTTTCAAGGGTTTTGGGTGAGAAGGTTCAGAAGCAGTAGCCCTGCTGTGCTGAACTCTTGGTGTGGTCAGTACTAAAAGAAAAACAAAAACGCAAGTTGTTCCAGTCTCGGGGTAGTTTTCTGAACAATAACAACAGAAATGTTTCCTGTGGGTGTTACCCCCTACCCCCCTACCATCACCACCACCACCAAATGTTGAAATTCTTTTTCTGGGTCTCCTGAACTTCAGTTCAGGCTCAGGGCCCTCCTGTGCTTGCTTTCTGGGCCTCATGTGCTTCTGATATGGCCTTCAGTGTTGCAGCCCTGTTCTGAGATTTTCCTGTAGGTCTCCAATGCCTAGTGAGTGTGAACTGGTGGCCGAGAAGCTCTATAAGGAAGGGGCTGGGGAGGCCCAGCTCCTCACTACACTAGTTTTCTTACTGGCAATTCAGCAAAAGGCTTATTTTTGACTGGCTTGTTATTTTTTCTTGAAAGCTATAGGCACCTTATTATGCCTTTGCATATGTGCCAGGATTTTTTAAACTTCAAATGAATGTGGCAGATGTTCATAAAAGTTTAGAAAAAGCTACCATAGGAAGACTTTTTAACCATTTTTATGACACTCAAATTTGTGCACAAAAAGAAACATAAATTATAACCTAGTATTCTCATGGGAAGGAAGGTTATTTTGAGGAAAGACCTACTTCTAGTCTTCAAGTTCGAGCAAGATGCCATTGCTGTTTGCTAAATGGTAACCTTGTCACTATAAAGAGTCCACTTTTCTTCCAAAGTGACAAGTTTGTAGCTGTTCTTCTTTCCTCTCCTTCCTTCTGCCTCTTGATATTCTTTCTCTCATTTAAGCAATTGGAGGCTAGTGGCAAATGAGCAGAATAGCCGAGGGTATTGGCATAGGCCTAACTGCTTCTTGGAGAGAATGATCATGTTAGTTGGCAGCTAGGAAATCCCAAAACATGGCCAGATTACTCACTGACTATTTCCTTTCATTCAACTGATCTCAATTTAGTTCAAGACACATTTATTCAGTCCCTTTTCTGTGCCATATCTGGTAGCAGGTGCCAGGTCATCTCTTGTAGATGGTGCTTCTCCTGTTTATAAATGAAGAGTTTCCTCACATGCTTCAAAACAGTGCTCTGTGCAAACCTTAGAGTGACATGGGGAGGAGGTACATCTAGAAGGTGTTTTATGTCACACTCTTGTTGGTAGGATGGTCAGGAAGATGGAAGGAATGTTATAACAATGACATGTTTCTGAAGAGAGGCTCAGACTATTCTGTAACTGGGACCCTGATGTCTGTATGCAGAGGCAGGATGTTTGGAATGTGGGTCCTGGAGTCTGGCTTTCCTACTTCCTACTCAGGTGACCTTGGGAGAGGATATCAACTGATGAGCCTCTTGTTTTCTCACCTGCAAACTGAGGATGAGGGCTGAGTCCCCTGGATAGAATCATTTGAAAGATCTGGTGAGAAAGTGTAGTGCCCAGCACATAAAGCGCTCCATAGAGTCAGTAGCCATGGCTGCTTCTCTTTGTTCAGTGCCCTTAAAGTCATTTATATTGCTAAGCTGGTGGCTTTGAAATAATGATATGGGAACTCTTAGGTTCCCCAGAGAAACAGCCTTAGCAAAATTGGCTTGCACCTGCCTGATGTACCCTGGTTTGCACTGTCTCAGGATTGGGAATAACACTTTGTAAGATTCAGTCAGTATCCTTCCAGACCCCTGCCTGACCACATCCTTGCATTTGACTGTTAATGTTTGTTTTTGTTTTTTCCTCAAAAAGTTCTGGCAGTGTATTATGGTTCTGTGTAAGTGCTGGATTTCTTGAGCTTCCAGTGAATTTGTGATACTTCACCTCTCTGGATCTTACTGTCTTCATCTAGGAGAGAGCTCTGAGTCCTGTAGGTGTCCAGCATGTCCCATTGTCTGGCCTGTAGCAGTGACACAGTGCATGGCCCTTTCCACAGTAAGGTGTTAAGAGGCTCTTATGCTCCAGGGTCCGTATCTCATAGTAACCATGCCCAGTCTCTACCTTCTTGGAGGTTCTCCTGGAATAGATGCAGACAGGTAGAAATTAAATGGATGAATTTAGGTTGACATCGGCT